CAACCCATCCGAAAATAGCCGGGCCAGCGACAGTCCGAGTCCGCCACTAAGAGGAAGATGGAGGAGGGAGGGGGCTAGGGGAAGAGAGGGGGGCAGGTGAGGGAGTAGAAGAAGAAGAAGAAAGAGAGAGGGATGGCGGGGGGAAGGGGGTTAGAAAGAGAGGGAAGTCGTGCAAACGTCGCCAAAACGTCGACGGCGCCGGAACATTGGGCGGGTGCCAGCGACAACTTGCCAGGGGGGGAGAGCGAGCGAAACGATTAGAAAAAGGCCGGGCCGGGCCACCAGTCCGCGGACAGAATGCGGGGCGCGCGCACCTCGTCGTCCCGAGCCCGACGCACCCCCATTCCCTTCCTCGCCCCGACGGGGGGCGGGCCCCTTCCCAAAACGAACGAGCTCCCCCCCCCTCCCCACTCCCCTTTAGCCCCTCATGCGTCGCTGTTAAGCTGCGAGAACTAACCTGCAGCCGCCCTTAAAAGGGCTGAAAGGATGATCAACCCAGACGGAACGGCGCGCGCGCGCTTTCCACGTAATGAACGGGGACAGTGACCTTCAACGCCGCTGTCGTACATCCCCTGCGGGGAGAAGGAGAAAGGAGTAGCGGTGGAGGAGGATGAGGGGCAGTAAGAGGAGGAGGAGGAGGAGGAGGAGGACAAGGGGGGCGGAGGGATCTGTCTCTTGGCTCCTCGCCTCGCCGTGCAGCAGCGGCGGCGGGAGCAGAGGATCATCGCCGCCAAGACAACGCTGGCGCGGTAGCGTTCGGGTGGTCAGTGGTCAACAAGGGGTGTCGTCGCGGACACCACCCTTTGGCGGAGGTAAACAGCAGCGAATGCGCGGGCTCCACCACAGCACAGCCACGGCCCCGCGGCGAGAGAGTGGCGGCAACAGCGCGCAGCCAACAGATTGTTTCCAATCCGGTTTTCCTCATCAAAAAATAAGCTCGCTCGTTGTATTATTTGTTCGAAGGTGGCCGGCGCGCGCGGCACACGGGCGGCATCAGCGTGCGCCCGGGAGAGAAGGGCGAAAATAAAGCGAGAGGTGCTGCTGGGCGCCCCGCCCGCCCGCGTCAAGGTCCTCTCTCAGCAGGCCCTACTATATATCCATCCACCTGTACCGCGCTGGCGCTGTAGCGAGTATCTGAATAATTGCGATCTATGGTAATTGCAAAAACATTTGTTTTTCAGACCCACATTAATTTTCTTTTTCGGATGGGTAACTCCATGAGGTGTGGTCGTAGAACGTACGTGCGGCACCACGAACGTTGAGGACTGATGTAGGCGAACTAGAGGTGCTACAATTTCGTTAGGACCCGTGGATGCGAAGTCGTGCAGACACATCCACCGATACCCTCGATACGCTTCCTCGATTTGCCATTCGGCTACAGTTTTCAGAAAATAAGCGTCGTGACGCACGGACAGATAATTTAATAGTGTGAGGAAAATTTTCGAGCATAACCTTCGAAGGGAAAAAACCTGACAAATCCATATGGGGACACTTTTTATTGATTGGACGTAACCGGAAAGATTTACCAACACGAAATTGTTAAAAATCCGAAAAGTAAAGACTTTTGCCATTTTTTTACTATCTGAAATTGCTCGTGTCGTTTTTTTTTCTTTTTGTAGAAAATGCAATATGCTGTGTCAATGGTCGTTAAAGTTGCTGGGGGGGGGGGGGGTGACTGTAAAGAACGTTAGTTTTACTGCTAAAGATACTTTCGAGCCGAGCAGCAGTTGACCGCCCGTTACTATCTCTGCACGCGGCTGACGCGCACGAAGACCCCGCCACAATGTACTTGCTGAACAAACAGCTCGGCGCGGTGGCAGCGCGACCCACGTCGTCTGCTACACCGGCAGAAATAAATGCGAGTGCGCTTGCCGTTTCCAGTTCAGACAGCGGGATGGGCAGAAACTGTCAGAATGGTATGCGCGGAAGGGGTGGGGGGCAGCCTCAAGCGGATCCGACTACCCCCCCCCCCACACCGGCCTGCGCCGCCGTCTGGAGACACCACCAGTCACTTCCAGTGGCACTGCTCCGAGTGTTACAGGATGCTGATAAGTCTGGCCCTCACGCTCTAACGTAAGTGAGCGAGCACGCACGCACGCACGCACACACACGCGTTGTTATTCTTCCTATCTTCCCCTTCCACACATCTCTTTCTCTCCCTCTCTTTCTCTCTCTTTGCCTCTCCTTCCGTCTCAGTGCGACCGACCGCCCGTGAATGACGTGCATCGTGGCGGTTTGCGCGGGCGTACCGCAGCAGCTGCCACCTCATCCTCCTTCCTGGCGCGTGCCTTTGATTCGTTATCATTTCTGCTCCGCGGCGGCGGCGGCATCCTCCCCCGCGCCTCCACCGCCGCCACCGCCACCTCCCGCGCTCAAGGGAGAAAGTCCGCGCTGCTCATAATCGGCTAACCTAACCTCACCACTTGACTCACCTGGGGGACTTTGCAGTCAGCTGTTGACTCGACGATGAGGAAGGGTGGGCTGCTCCTTATCTCGGAATCACTTTCACACTTCTTGATGGGGCGGGGCGGGGAGGGCCTTCCCTCCCGGCTGAGTCACCCGGCTCCGCGCACGTCACCGCCGCAGAGTCAACAACAGCGGGGCGGACTCCTGCTGCACGCCGGCGGCGGGCTTGGACACCACGTCGGGCGCCTCGGTGGAGTCCTCGCGTCGTCGTCGTCGTCGTCGTCTTCGGCGTGTTGGGCCCCCGGTGCGCGGACGTTGTCGGCGGGGGGCTCTGGGGTGCACTGAGGTGTCACCCGCTGGCACTGGGCGCTATCGCCGAGCGGTCGAGCGGGCGCGGGCAAGGCCTGGCCCTGCGCGGCGTGGCGTGGCGGGGGGCGACGGCGTCGTCCGTCGTGGCGGTGGTGTTGTGCGGTGTTGTGGTGGCGGCACCGGGACACACGGGCCGGCCGGCGCGAGTGTGGATGAGTGAGTGAGGGAGTGCGCGAGTGAGTGAGTGAGTGTTGTTCGGGAGCCGCTCGGCTCGGCTGATCTGCGCTGCGGTCAGGTCTGAGCTCGGCCTCTTCGGCTAGCCGTCGCTGCTGCTGCGGCTACAACTCGGTCGCGGCTCGGCTCGGCACTCGGCGCTCGGTTCGGCTCGGCTCTACCCGCGCGCGCGAGGGGGAAGGACAGGTCACGGCCGCGGTGCACCACGACGGCGTGCTCGGCGTGCTCCTCACTGTACCTCCGGAGACAGACAGACTGGTCTAGGGTGGCCACCTCTCTGGCGATATATACCGACCGCTGCCTCAGCCACAGCCGCAGACCGGCGGAGCGGCACGGGGCGGGGCGGGGCGGGACGGAGCGGGGAGGGGCGGTCCTGGTGCTGCCGATGTTCGGCCTGGCCGACGTCATGAGACGGGCTGAAGCCACATGCG